ACAGATTTACCTGCCTGGCAGAGAAGATTACAATTTATAGAAATCAAGCAAACTCTCTAAGAAATACAGTACAAAATCATAAGTTAAATTAAATCATAAAAGACCGTGCCCGGATCATCTCTCACTTGACAAATAAGTAAGTAAAACTCCCAGGAGAATTGGAGACCTGTTTTCAATTCTCAGCAGTTCCAACACTGCCATTTGGATACATTTCAGATAAGCATTCGGGCTTCTAGATTCTAATCCAAACTGAATCTCCAAGCATTAATTAGGTTCATCTGTCACATGCTACCCATGAAGTATGTTATTTCCTTAGCAAATGAGGCCATTATGAATACAACTGAATAATTCAGAAACCTAAACTGGCAAGAAAAAGTGCACTTTTATCATGTTCCCACAATAACTGTCGGGAAAAGGGATTGCTGTGCCATCAGAAGTACCAACATGGAAATTTGTTTTTACTCCAGAGTGATACAAAAAGTCAGTACTTTGACCTTTCCCATGCAAAAAAAAAGTATTTAAAAAAATTTCAGGTCATCAAAATATTCTACTTCAGTAAGGTAAAATAGTATATGAGAATGCTAAACAGTACAGGAACTAGATAAAATATTTCATATAAATGAAGTGATTCAAAATGGTAGAAGCTTGAAAGTCCCTCCCCAGCTTTCTTGTATCCCCTTCAGGTACTGGGAGGCCGCTGTAAGATCTCCCTGGAGCCTTCTCTTCTCCAGGCTGAACAGCCCCAACTCTCTCAGCCTGTCCTCACAGCAGAGCTGCTCCAGCCCTCGGATTCTGGGTGCCTGATGAGGAAAACTTGCCACTAACAACTACCTTGATGCACACAGCATCACACTTAAAGGTCTATCACCAAATCCTTCAGGTTTGGTTCAAAAAACTGTTTTCTCAGACATATTCCTTGCCAGCAGTTACCAGTCACACAACCTCAAAGACCACGGTACTGCAAGGCTGGAGATCATGATTTCTAATCTATAGCTTGTTTCCTAAAACCTCCTTATTTTCATAAGGGCAAATAAAACATTTTTTAAAATAGCTGTTCTCCTCTTTCCTTCATGAAATGTGAAGTCCCAGCAAGCGAGCCTGCACTTGCTATCCAACTTTACTACCATAAAGCATTTTCTACAGATCATTTTACAAAGCTCCCTGTTTCCACGTGAGGTCCC